CACATCGGCCAAATATGGGACTGGACAAAGTCCTTGATTTCTTAACAACTGAAAACATCAGTGTTTTCAGCATTCTTCTCATGCTACTGGGAGGAAAATTAACTCTGTCCCATCCGAAACCAGGACAGCTCTGCACGAACTTCAGCCACGTGGCTCGTGAGCACTTGACTCATCTGGACCCCAGGCCATCATAAATCACCTCCAGCATGGCCAATTCCTGCAGCTACAGGAAACTTCTCACTGTGGTGCTCCACTTGCCTGGGTGACTTACAGCATCTTCCTTGAAGGGGCACCTTTTCTTCATGCGTGACAGGAGTCGCCTCCAGAGGCTGAGGGCTTGTGCCCCTTTTCCAATCGCTTTGTCAATGCCCCCTTCCCTGGCCAGGGATCCCAGCTGCTTGGCTTCCCTGCCCTCTAATTCCAGGCGTCTGGCCCCGTCGTCCCAGCACCGGAGCAGCCAGCTGACAACGTGCTCGCTGGACGAGGGCTGAAGTCTTTTCACGTCTCTCACAGCTCTCAGGGACAGGGACCGGGTGGTTACCGCCTCGTTTGTGAGTTCTGCCTCTTCCTCCTCCTCTTCTCGTGATGGCCCTGCTTCCGAGTAGCCTGCCTTGTCCACTTCTTCCTCCTTTCACTTCTTAGTAGCAGTTTCTTCCCTTGCTGAACGAGCTGACTTTCACGTCCGATATTTCTTACGGTGTGTAGGGGTGACCGGAACCGGCACGGGTTGGTTCTCTGGTTCAGCCGCAGTGCCCGTCACGGGGTTGGGGCAGCCACGGCGCCTGTCGTTTTGTGTCAGATCCAGAGACCTTCTGCTCCCCTTGAGGGCACGGAGCCGCGCTGAACGGGGCTCGGTACGCGTGGGCCAGGCCCCAGCGCGCTGCAGAGCTCTGTGTCTCTCTGGAGTCGCCAGCGTGGCAGCGTCCTTCTTCCAGACACTTTGCTGGTTCTTCAGGATTCTGCACTTGTTCAGGGCTGACGTCCCGAAGCGCCAGAGGTGCCCACCGCCCCAGGTACTTGCCCACCCCACCCCACGCTCCCTGCCACTGACGTCAAGCCCTGGGTGGCTGACAGGGAAATGCCAGCTATGGGGAAAGAAGGGCCTTTCCTCAGCCCCTGCGGAGTGCTGGCTTGCGGTGGGGAGGGGAGGGCTGCTTTCGATTAGCGTGTGAAATAAAGCAGCAGTTCCTAAGGCCCTGTGGTGGCTGGCCTGTTCCCCCCCTTGCAGGCAGCGGTCCCCAGCCTGGGGCCGAGCAGAAGCAAGAATGTTCCACCCATTTATTCAGCTGCGTTTGGGATGACAGAGCCCTGACCGGTTTGCTGCCTTTTCCTCCTGCGCCTACTCTGCTGTTCCTGGAGGCATCCCAAAGCCCGCAGGTCTGCTATGGATGCTTCTGGGTAACTACAAAGCAATGACCTCCTTCACCCATCCCCTGGTGAAATCAGGCTCGGGGCTGAGCTACGGCGAGGGGAGAGCAGGCATCGTTGGCCCCAGGCAGAGCCGCTCAGCCGCTTGGCCCGTAGTGAGCTGCCTTGAACATGTCTCTGCCTCTCCTCATTCCCCGTTCCTTGCAGCGCTTCCCCGTCCCTGAAGAGATGCTGCTTCCTCCCTGGCCCTGACACACCGTGGCCAGGCCCTGGTTCTTCACTGCTGGAGCTCAGCAGTATGGAGAGCTGCTCCTAGAAGCCTCCAGAGCCAGTGGGCTTTTGAGCTGGGCAGGATTGCTCTCCGTGGCCATGCTCATTGTATCTGTGTCCAGTGCTTGGACACCTCCATGACCCTTTTTATTTTTCCAAAATTCCCATGGAGGTTCGCGTACAGGGTCCCCAGCTGCTCTTTCACAACCACGCTCTGCAGCTGGGGTATCAGCATCGCCCGTGAGCTTCTTTCCCTGAGCCCTGGGATCAGGGGCTGCTGGACCAGCAGCATCCCAGCACCGTGTCAATGGGCAGAGCCCGGGGAGCTGCACGAGCGCTGGGTCTTTCCTCTGTGCTGGCTCTGCTTGGTGTTCTCACATGTCCTTGGGAGGAAACCTCAGCAAAGAGCAGGCAGTCTTTGGTGTCTTCTCCAACCACAGCCAGCTTGTTACATGCTGAACCATGGGCTGCTGAGCTGTCTGGTTTAGGCCACTGTACATTTCTGGTTTCTGGAGTGACCTTGTATTTTTAGACATATTTTTCTATGACTCATTTTTTAACTAAATCCCTCTGTTCCCTGTCACCCTCCCACTTCCCCCGGGCCGGCAGCAGAGCCCAGGCAGGCAGGACTGGCTGTGGCCAGGCTCTTCTGTTTTGAACTAGCCCAGCACAGCAGCTGGGGAAACCCGCGTCCTCTCCTGAAGCTGCCAACACAGGTCTGAGCTGCACTAAAACCCCGCAGCCCGGTTTGCCAGGGACACCCACCACAGCCGCAGTCGCCAGTTCCCTGCAGAGAGGCCCTGGAGGCAGCCTTGCCACCAGCGTTTCAGGCTTCAGCGCATGCGGCTGGATGGGGAGGGAGGGATGGATACTTGGTGTGCAGAGACCTTTGCTGCTGGCTCCTCCATTGCCCTGCGATTCCCAGAGTCTGCTCAGCTCCTCCCTGGACTCTGCCTTAGAGCTGCAAAACACTCCCAGAGGAACAAGCTCTGGAGGTTTGGGGGCTTCTCTGTACTGTACCGAGTTTCCTGACCTCCCATGGTGAGTCTGGTCCTGCCCTTCAGGGATTCTTGACATTATTTGAGACATTGAGATACACTTGCTTCCCAGCTATTGGTACAAAGGAGATTTCTCCTAGGCACTGTGTCCCATTCCCATTTCACAATGATAAAACTAACAGCATCTAAACTTCTGCTGCTTGGGCTCTGCTACCCACTTTAGCTTCGTTCCTCTGGTTCCCTTGGGCTTCTGTGCCGCTGCCCAGCGGTGAATCTTGCAGTGCCCCAGCAGCACGGTGCTGAGCCTGCCTGCCTGGGACAGCCTGTCCTGCTGGGGAACTGTCACGCGTCAGCCCCCTCCGGAGAGCCAGCAAAATGCTGGGGGCTGACGCATGACAGTTCTCATATCTTCTCCCCCATATCCTCAGTCTTCAATGCACACCACCACACTTGTACCCATGCTGTGAACGGAGCAAACCATGTGCAGGACTAAGACCAGACCATGGCTGGCAGATCAAGGGAAGCTATCCCTGCCATGAGTAATGGACCCAGTGTTGGACCCCGAGTTCAACAAGAGGGATGTGGAGGAGTGACCACCAAAGGGCGACCAAGATGGTCATTGGGCTGGGCACACAACCTGCGAGGAGTGTTTACCGGAGCTGGGCTGGTTTTGTCTGGTGAAGAGGAGGAGAAGGGTCAGCTAACAGCAGTCTGCAGCCGCTTGAAGGACAATTTTGCTCATAATGGAGCCAAATTCTTCCCAGCAATGGCAGACATGATAGTGAGGGCCGATGGCCACATCTACAACTTGGGAGAAGCAGGGTGGGCATTAGGAAGGCATCTTCTCTGGGAGGGTGGTGCAGCTCTTGACAGAGCTCCATCCTTGTAGGCTGTCAAGACCTTGACATGTCTGACTTGCTCTGCTGCCAAGGACAGTCCAGCTCCAAGTGTCAGTTTGACCTAAAGTCCTCTACACGTCCCCGCTGCTGTGACACCCTGCGTGGCATGGCGAAACTGCCTCGCGCGGGAGGAATCTTGATGAGCCAGCACTCTCTGTCCCTCAGATTGCTTCATCCGCTGCTGAGTGAAGGAGACACAAATTCACATTCAGTGCCGCTGACCTCAGCAGCTGGAGTCAAAGCAGAAAGACCTTTTTTTCTGCATCATCTACTTAAAAAAACCTTTCTCCAAGGTTCATTTCTACATCAAGTCCCATTCTGCTGGTGTTCCTAGCCTGCAGCTTCAGTTTGATTCGTAGGGCCAGTTAAAGGAAAATCATTACAAAGATGAAGCTCGTCAGGAGCGGCAGCTCTCAGGACTCCGTTTCCACCTTGGGGCTGGCAGCCACGGGGACCGTGCTCGGCTGCTTTGGGGAAGGACGGGGCCGTCTCTGCAGGAGGGTGA